GGGGGTCGGGGGGTGTTCTCGCAAGGCCAAGGGTTGCTGTATAGGGGTCGGAGGTCGCTTCCAGGGAGGGAGGAAGCTGAACCAGGATTCAAGGAGCGTGGTGCTGGGTGGTGGATCCAGAAGCGGGAGGGAGGAGGTTCAGGTTGACGCTGACTAGGTGCTGCTTGTGCTAATAAACTACGCGCGGGGCGTATATCGTATATCCTCAATATCGGTTGCGAGACTTTTACCAGTACCTGTAGGTAGTTTCCTGAGCAGTCAGAGTCGATATAGCCACACGGCGCCACCATGTAGGGTCTGCTGGCACTGGCAGCCACCAAGTCTAGGACAGTGACGGTGTCGAGGGCGTAGAGGGCAGAGGGCAGTCTGGAGGCGCGCGCTCCGTGGAAACGAGTCGGGGCACGGAAGATGGTGGATGACTTGGTTGGTGTTGATGACTTTCGTTTGTTCCGTGGGAGGTCGGAGGAGTGAAGAGTCAGGATATGAGTATTGGTGGACTGTGTTGGCCGACTGCGACTGCAACTGCGACGGCGATTGCAACTGCTAAGGGCCTGTTTGGCTGGAACTGACTGGTGGATGAAGTACCAAAACGTTTCCTGTTTAGAGTACCATTATTGGTCTGTGGAATTCATGATGTGGTGTGTGGTTCTGGTGCTGCTGGACTTGCAAACGAAGCTTTATTTACTTCCGAGGACCCTGCAGCTTCGACCTCTCAGTATCTGAGTATCCTCATGTTTCGCTGGTACTGACACAGGCACGGCGCAGGCGAGGCAACCGCTGACCGCTCAGCGAAGGGAACCTGCCACTACTTCCACTACTTACACTGCCTGCACCGCCCTGCAGGAATTCGTCGTACAGGCGACTCAGGCTCATGCTACACAGCATCTTGTAACATCGCCAATTTCTCAACTGCAGCTCTAAGAGAGCGAGACCTCCGACCAGCCCTCATCATTTTTCCCACCTCGGATGTGACATGTATTCAGAGACCTAGATGGTGACAGATAGCTAAGTTATGGTTTCTTTCTCGTCCATCAACTTTGGCTTCGAAGCTTTCTTGTCCACTCAAATATACTTGACGGGAACCTCAACAAGCTTCCCGACAAATGAAAGCCGCAGAGTATAAAAACATCCACAATGACCCAAGCGAAAGTGGATAGGGTGGGGAAGTGGAGCCGAAAGCTAGCCAGGAAAATAGAACCCTCGTATCCTCCTCTGATCCCGAGAACCCAAGGGTACGATTCCCACTCAAAAGCTTATCGGCGAGTAGGGATCGTAGTAAGCAGAATCCGAATGGAAATCCCGCCCCAGGGGAAGTTGATAATTTCCTATTTAGGAAGGCCTTCGGCGTGAAAGATGGCACTCCACAAATGCTTGAGAGGTAAGGATACGAGTGGGGCGAGCTAGGATTAATAGCGCTTTGGAGAATCGAATTCCACGGTTGAGAGTGCCCCCCTTTTGGGGGTACCGGTACCGAATACGCTATGATGCTCGATTAACAATCATCTGCAATCACCCTCTGGATTTTGAAATTACCATGATTCAACATGGCAATTGGAAGTGATGATGCTCCGACCCCGTTCTTTCTTTCCCTCCCCTCATCCAAGATACTTATCTAGGAGCTTTCTCTCCTTCGAAAAATTATCAGGCATCTGTCTGGTATGAACTAGGGATCTAATTTCTCATCTTCGCCCCCTCGGTTATATGGTAATAATGTAGAATCAATATAAACATCTGCACTTTTTCTGCGCGTCAAATCAGCTGATTACAACCCGAATACCTGCTTTGCATCTCCCAGGTATATCATGACGAAAATGTAACGTTGATGTGCATTTGACAGCTGCCATCAGGCAGCTATTTCTTCCCCCTCGAGCCCCTCCATATTAAAACTTGGGAAACAAATATTTTCAACCTCAATCACGTATTCTAGATCTAAAACTCGCTGAGTGAGAACCAGAACGATGTCATCCAAAATACAAAAGTACAAAATACCTAGAAGGAAAAGCACACAGAAATCTTCCCGATGGAAAAATCCAAGCAAAGTCCCCTTGTCAAAAGTGGCGTCAGCGTGGGGGATCGCTGCTCTAACACTTGATAACGAAGCGACTTGGTGAACGGACGAAAAAATAGGAACAGGAAAGGATCGGACAGAGAGGGGTCCTTCTTGGCTTGGCCAAAAATAAGCTGGAGCCTCAAGGCCAACACCAACCAACCTCTCCACCAGAATCCTCATTATTATATCTTCTGTACGGAGAGTAGATATGGCTAACCATCGGGACTGCAGCTTTGCGATATCATTGACACGCCGAGCTCCAGACCATACGGTAAAGAATTATGGCAAAAACACCTCAAGCCACCAACCAATTCTCACAACGGCCTCAGCAAGTTTCCTTCCACCTCCCAAAAATGTGTTAAGTTCCGATTGGAGCCTCCGATTGATATTCAGCGCTATCATCGAATCCAAGCTGCTACTGTATGGTCGAAAAAGCAACATCATCCATGTATGACCGCTGCAGACCGCAGCTCTTATCCCGGAATCGAAAGCCCTACGGAGATTGCCAAGTATATCAAAGAACACTTATGAACTCCAACCATGCTGCCGGCTGCGCTGTCGAAAGATGCAAACCCAGGTTCTAGAACCGTGTCGGTGGAATTACCGTACCGGATCTTTCTTGATGTGAGGCTCCGCGGCTTGCGTGATCCGCTTCCAAGTTCCAGCTTTATTTTTTATTTTTTATTTACTTATCTGACCGGACTCGTACCTGTGTCAGAAAGATGAAAGATAGGGAAGCAAGTCATCACAATTCATCTGCAGCCCGCTTTTTGAAAACCCCGCCCACTATCACTATCTAGCGAGGGGCAGACCGCTTCATCAAATCGAGTCACCTCGACTCAACTCGGTCTTCTCCCAGTCTTCTACTCGAGTAAGTCCTGCCCAGCCCAGCCACTTCGGTTCATAAGTACACATTCTATTTCCGTGCCGAAAAGAATTCCATCTACGGCAGTGCGGCTTAGCCATGATATGATGCACATGGTTCACTAGGATCCACGCTTCATCACCACAGCAATTTGTTGGCTCAAAGAGCGGTATCACCAGGTAGCAAGCCGTGTGCTACAGCAAAGCAGCTAATTGAACGATAAACACTCTCCATACCGTACGTCAGTGAGACGGGAAAAACAGCGATGCACCAGCAAGTACAACAGAATCACTCCAAGCAATGCACTTTTCATTTAGAACTCCATCTCGATCCCCCGAATAAAAAAAAGCCTCAAAACCAATATCCTCTCACTCACCAGACTCATCCTTAATCTCTGGGAAAAAAGCGATGGATGGCACTGTACTATAAGCAGTAAAATGAACCTCTGTCCCCCAACCTACCGAATTATCGAAGATGGTAACTCTGAGTTACTCAAACCAATACAATACAATACGTCTGCACTCACCACTACTCACCCACTCAGCTCGCATCCTCAGTGTAACTCATCCTCATCCATCTCCATATCCATGCACCCTACCGAGCCCACCACTCAGGGAATTCGAGGCACCGACCTCAGTGCAAAACAAAAAGACCTCGAGTGACACAACACAGCTTGTGGCCTCGGGCCTTCTTGCATGTTCAGAAGAGCTTGGTGTCCTTTTTGGGACTTGTGGCACTTTGATTGGCAGCTTTTGATGTCTTGAACGAGCCTTTTTTGGGTCGTTGTTGAGTGCAGTGGTTTATTGTATCTAGTCATCTAGACCAACCCCTAACAGTAATCTCTCATCGTAGTCCTTAAGATCATGAATCAGCCACGCATTTGATGAAATACGCCTTGACATGTATCCGATGAGTAAGATATCATATACCTAACTCGAGTCAACTCCACGCCAGCCAAATCTTTCCATAGTACATTATATCAAGAATTGAAAAAAAGACAAGAAAAGAAAACGAAACAATCTTCAATGCCACCAACCCCCAACCCCACATCTACGTTACTCGTACTACTCGTACTCAAGTGAAGCAAAACCATAAATCAAAAACCATCCTAACATAACAAAATAAAAGAAAGCTAAGCGCTCCCTGATCATGAGCTCGTATTCACATCCACTAGCTTAACCTAATAATACGAATTCTACCCCACCCCACTCACTCCACCAACCAACCAACCAACCAACCAACCAATCAAGCAGTAGACACGATACGTCCGATACCTCGCAGCCTCGCAGACCCGATTTCTAGAATAGTACTAAACATATACTGTACAATACATGTACATATTCTACCTTTCCCTTTCCTAACCGCCGCGTCAGGACGGTTTTTAGGCAGCGAGATTTTGGTAGCTGTATCTGCTTTGGTTTTCCCTTTCCCAAGGGCTATGGAAAGGGAACGGGAACGGGAACGGGAATGGGAATGAGAATGGGAATGGGAAGATGTAGGTAGGTATTGATTGTTGTTGGGTTATTGGGTATTGGGTTATTGAGGGTTGGATGGGTGTGAGTTGGGTTGGGAAAGCTGATGGATGGATGGATGGGAAAAGGGAAAAAGAAAGGGTGGGATGAGGGGAAACGGGAGGGAGAAACTTGACGAATGCTGAAAGGAGGATAATGATTTGGGGAAATAAAATTTTCTTAATATTATTGGGACGTTTGGTTTAAAGAGTCTTATTAAAGTCTGAGGATAATTTCCACCTTTCAAAGGGTGGGCTTGATTTGATTCGAGGAAAAGAATAATAATGTGAAGGGCGACCGGTTCATGGTGAAATATCGATGTTTTCTCATCCATAGATGACGATACCTTTTTTTTGAAGATCACGGGCATTAGGTAGGTCACTATATCGTGACTTTCCGAATTTCACGAATCATGTGATTCACCTCCTCTCCCCCCTCCCAAGGTCCATCCACTATCCTCACAATTCCCTAAAGAAAGCAGGAAATACTCCCATCCAAAACTCCATTATATATCCTACACTCACCAAATCTCTCATCCACAACACATAAACCAAACCATTAACCCGCTTTTGCCCATCCACCCCATCCCATCCCACTCACCAGCTCACCAAACCCAAACCCAAACACATCCCTCAAAAAATCCATATCCCCACACCCAACCCAACCCCCTCCCTTTCCAAAGATCTCCACAAAACTCCCAAACCACACAACTCTTCCCAATATCCCCTACCTACCTCCACACGTCTCATCCAAAACCCACCACCCACACCACCTCCACACTTCCTTTCCCCAACCCGCCCTCGCGCGCGCTTATCAAGTTCAAATTTCCACAACACATCACATCACATCTACGTCACGGAACAAACCGGATATTGAATCAGGGGTTCTTACTCTGTCTCATGAACGGGAAATTGTGAGATGGAATGATGGAAAGGAGAATTAGAATGTGAATTTGGGATGTGCTGTTTAAACCATTGGCGGCAAAATTGCAATTACAAAGATCCAAAAGCTGCAGCAATGAGCCGTCATTAATCAAGTGCGATAAGCCATGTTATAGTAAACCGCAGTGTGAACCGTATCTATATTACGTGTATTCATATCCCTTTTCATCTCCACAAACGAAAAAGACAGTCAGTAGCAAAAACGAACGAAGGAAAAAAGAAATGCACAAAAGCATTCAATATCTACCCTACCTAACAAAAGTCCATCATCTGTTCCCGAGGAATCATCCCATCTCATTTCTAAATCCCAAGTGCCGCACTAGTTTTCATGTCAATCCATTCATTTGCAATTCAAAGCCCTTCCCAGCGCCAAATTAAACACACACAAAATAATTTCCCCAAGAAATATACTCAATAGACGTGATATCCCGAAGCGAAAAAAGAAAAACACAACACCACCATGTAATCTTATTCCTGATCCTCGTTCCCGTCGCATTGTTTCCATATCTTGACCTTGCTAATCTCCATCTGTCCGTTCTTCTCCCACGTTGGTAACCACTGGTTTCGAGCAGCCCAGAAATCGTTCTTGGCGCGTGGACTTTGGTCGACCCATGGTTTTCCAGATGCGCCGTCTTCGAACCAGCCGTTGGTACCACCAACTGCGACGTTGAGGATGAGGTAGAATTCTTGATCGAAGGGTGTTTGGTGACGACCGGTTTGGGACCATGCGTCAACAAGACGTGTTCCGTTGGAAAGAGAGCTAGGGAATTGTCCACGTTGCCAGAGGGGTTTGTCGAAATTGGTGTACAAAACTTGGAGAAGGTTGGAGTTGATGTAGGTGAACAAGTATTTTTGAGACCATTCCAGACCAAATGTGTTGTAGCCTTTCGAATAAGTCGTGTGTAATGCGGATCTCTTGACGTTTGTTCGCCACCAAGCGTCGTTGGCTGGGTCTGGACCCCAATGAAGTGCTGATGAGGCAATGTTGTTTCCACCCTGTTTGTATGTGTGATTGTTTCCGCGACCTTCAAGGATATCAATCTCTCCAGATAGTGGCCAAGGTCCGTAAGTTTCGTTTACTGGCAACATCCAAATTGCGGGCCAGAGCCAATCTCCATCTGGGAGTTTTGCAGTGACTTCAACGCGTCCATACTTGATAGTCGCTCCCGCTTTGGTGTTGATGCGTCCAGACTTGACTGGTTGAATAATTGTCCCTTCGGTGGCGTTGGTGACACTGACACAATTCTTGAGGGAGGGAGATGAGCAAGTTCCATCGGCAGTCAAATTAATGACATTGTTGGTCTCAAGCAGGGTTGCATCCTGGAGAGTTGGTTTGATAATGAGCTTGCCATCTTTTATGAAGACGTTCTCATCAGTCAAAGTAGTCTGTTCAAATTGACCATTTCTTGTTTTGTCAGCATTTCTCTTCTTACATGGACTGACATGGACTTACCCAAATCCACCAACCTCCGCTTCTTTGGCCCATATGGTTTCTCGGAGACCCTGACTGAAATCCTCGTCCAAGACCGGGCAGTATTTATGGTGCACCACCGACGAGATCCCATCATAGATCAAAAACCCAGCAATACCAAACCCGAGTGCAAGACCAATCAACGGAATAATCGTCACCCATTTCTCCTTTGGATCCTTGTTTTTCCTCCACGGTTGGTCAACTTCGCCTTTCTTCACTCGTCTCGAATGGAAATATCTTGAAGGCAGTCCCGAGCGAACGCCCGTCGAGGAGCCCAACGAAGACGCAGGTCTAGATGTGAAAGGAGTGGAAAATGGATTGGGTCGAGGAGCTGGAGATATCTCGTCGCCGAAGGCATTACTTCTGCTTTCTGGAGTGCCCGGACGCATTGGAGTCGTTGCCGTGGTGGAGATGGCGCTCCCTCTGTAGTGTGATGTATTCTCCATGTCGCTGCGAATGTGAGATCGAAATTATATACTAAGAGTCTTTATTAAGAACGAGTGTCGAAGTGGGCGAACAAGAGTCAACTTGTCGCTATTAGAGAGATCGTCAATGCAGAGAACTTTTGGGGACGGAGAGATGATTTTGTCGTGGGAGATGTGGGATGCGATTTGGGATGGAGGAAACCAAAGTTGATGGTGAAGTGAGTGACCGGGGTACAAAGGATGGCTCAGGCGCGACCAGACCCACGATTGCTGGGGGTGGGTATGATGGCAGAGGGTCGCAGGGTGGCAACCTGTTCAACACGGGCCGGAGATCTCGTCAGAGCTCTCGGATTGGGTTGTTTTGGGGGATTTTTTTGGGAGGGAGATTATTATTATTGAAGGGCGTCGCTGAAAACCAAATATTGACAGTGTTTTAGACGAGGCGGCCGGCAGTCTCTACACGTGTGTTGTGGCTACGGTAGTAGTATCTAGAGATCATTCGTTTGTCGGGCTGCTAGTACCTCTTCCGACTACCAAAACAAATACCAGCGCAGGTTCAGGATTATATTTACCTACTGCTATCGTCAATCGATTCTAAATCTAGCCGCCTCCCCAAAGCAGTCAATATCTGTTCTGCCCACAGGCAGGCTACCTAATCAACGAACCATTGCCAATCTCCTCCAGCCCTCCCTCCGGCCAGGCTCCTCGAGTCTCATCACAGCCCATAAAAAAGCAATAATGGAATATGTACATGGCTGCAGTGCTTGTGGAACAGGACGCCCGATATTTTCTCACCGCATGCACATTGAGCGTTGTAGCACACCCTCTTCTGTACGCGAGTCTATTCTCAGCTTCTAGAACCACAGAATACAGTGGAGATACGATGTTATCGTTCTTGCTGACCACTGCAGTGCAGTGCAGAGGAAGCAGAGCAGAGTCGGAGCATTCGGTGCTGGCCGGGTGGATGTCGATTTCGTCGGTTGGTACAGTATCTACAGCAAATGCCAGGGTTCTTCATCGTCAGGGGAAGCGACGACGGATAAGGGGGCTTGTTCTTGCTAAGAGCGGCGTGGGGGTCAGGATGCCCCTGATTCTGCGGTAGATCCTGGGACCCGTTCACCAAGCTTTTCGGCTAGTCTTGATGGGGTAGCAAAGTTTGGGACTAATGCAAGGAACATCTTGTGGCATTGAAGATTCCTCCTCTCTCTTTGCTTCTCTTTCTTAATCTCCGCATTTCGTGACCAAACCACGAAAGCTTGCGAGACATGATATCATTGCGAGACATGATACCAATGCGAGGAAGTCCGAGATTTACGATGGCGAGTAGCAGGAGACTTTCCACGACATTTCGAGCGTTGCTTTATCAATGAATCGCTTCAGCTCAATGTGCTTCGTTCAGATGCATCGATATGCAGATTGCCAGCGTGCAGTATCTTCATCTGGTCTTGATTTTCCCATTAGTCATGATACAGGGTTTATAGCAATATTTTGTTACATCTTGATCTCGTGGAATCCACGCTGTCCGAGTCCTCAAGTGAGCCCGGCCGGAAAAATGGATGGAGAAGCATTTTTTTTTGAATTTCATTTATACGTGGTTCAGTTGAATGGTTTACAATGATGTCAGGCAGTATGACTGTTCCCGCAAGCATTAACGTGCAATGAGGTCGATGTGTGCAACCAGTGGCGATTCTATTATCTATCGGTGCTTCGATTGAAGATCAACTGGATCATAGCCTTCTCGTATCAACATTAACCCCAGCTTGGCTGAAGGGTCTTTTCCGTTTTCAAGAAGTTAATGGAGGTCTGTCCAAATCGGATTATTCCCTTTCTCGCCTCGATCTACAGTTTTTCCTCCAGTCATTCTTCAGTTGCTATTAATAGTTTTCTCGTTTATGTATGTCGATAACACTCGCAGATAGCTAGCTAGCTTGGTTGGCACCCAATAAAAGCTTACCCACTAAACTCTGTGCCAAATGACTCGAACATGCTGAAAACAGCTGTTGAAGTTTTGGGTGTTGGAAAAAGAAGGCGATCTACCATCAAAGGCTGAGTGGGACATCCACAAACACGAGATAGAGAATTCTTAAAGTTTCAGCACAGCGAAAACGCTACCCGGCAATGATGCACTAGTCATACTACACACCCTTTGCAAGATTTTCCACGGTGGCGAGTCCAAGCACAGCATTGGATATCGGTTTGATACATACCTGTAGACGCGGTAGTATCCGCTGAAGCGCATCTCAAGATGTGCGGCCAGGAAGTACAACCTTATCTCAAGAACACACCATAAGCATGCAAGTTGAACCCCCACTGTTTTATATTCGGGAAGGCGGTGCTTGTGTAAGTACTACCAGATGATTTTCGAAGCATATGTATTGTGCATTTGTGTTATCCAGAAGATACTTGATTTGGAGCCGAGGATGGTACTTGTTTAGTCTTAATTTTCTGACACACATGCTCTTCTTCGTTGCCTATGAGGAATTTATACTGCTACTGTATCGTAATGAAACCACAAACACTTGAACTTCCTTATGTGAGCTCATAACTTGCGGTACTTTTCTGGAGAGCTTCTCTGGGTCCCTCTTTTCAACTGTCGTTGTGCCTCCTTTTACTTTCCACATCTTCATATTTTATTATAGGAAGCCCGCTGTCTTCCCTCTATACTAGGTATATGCCTGGCATATCTCCCAATTCTCTTCAAAGTCTTTCCAATGGTTGAACAGTATATGTACTATCCTATAATCCTACCAGTATTCCCAACCCATCAGCAACTTCATTCAATACAATCACGAACATCATACTTAATACCCTCCCTCAACACAATACCACCTGCCTCTGCTACCAAACAACCATCCATCCTTCCTGCAACCCATCCATCCCAATCCAATTCATTTCCGCCCCTTCCTCCGGTAAAATCCCACCCCAATACAACCCCAATAAAATACATCCTTCCATCATCTTTCCATCCTCTTTCTCCCTCAAAAAGCCCTCCGAGACTTCCCAATAAACCCTCATCGTAGTATTTATTAATTCTACCATGTTCGCCCAATTGATGGGTTATGGTTACTGTATGTCTGTGGGACCATCTATATATGCGAGGGGTTTAGCCTGTATACTGGATGAGGACGAGGCTTGTTTGGGAAGGTGTGTGTAGCGTGGATGAGTTGGAGATTTGTGTGTTTGTGGTGTTGGGAGTGGGAAAAGGGAATGATGGGGGTTAATGATGGTTTTGGGAGTTTTATTGGTTTGGGGTTTTAGGGGGGAAATAGGGGGGGGGAGGTTTAGGAGGGAATATTGGTATGAAAGGAATAGGCAATTATATAATAGGTCTTGAATTGTTGTGCTGGCTGAGCTTGTTATAAAAGAGGCTATAGAGGTTACTTTGTTTATTTGATTCTAAATGATTTTCTCTTATCATTGGTGTCCTAGATGCTTGGAATATTTAACTGAAATATATGAAGTTGGGATGAATTGAACTAAGCAAAATTAAACTGCAATGAGACGCTTTCTAAACTCTTCTCATATACTTCTCTTTACTCTAGCCTCTGGTGAAAATTACTAAAATCGGAGAATAGAAGGGAAACATTTCTAAGTTCTAAGTTCACAGCTTTACGTTAGTGGTTCTTGATTACCTGCTGTTTATAGATTTACGTCTTTCTATATATAAGAGACGTAGTCATTGTTCTTAACACTTCTAACCCAAGGGTATTGAGAGATCGGTATTATTAAGGTAGATAGCGGGTGTTTTGGGATAATTTGGACCTGTAATTCTTTATGAATCTAGGTATTTTGGGGGGATTAAATTTCTTGTTTTGGACTCTTTGGATTATGTTTTTATGTTTTGTACATGAGTTATATAAAAACAACTTTCTTTTAGTTAAACGGAAATGAATAGATCTAATACTATGTATAAAGGTCCTTTGGATAATAGTTATGTAATCAGGTTAGTATGGGAAACAGGTATTAAAGGCGCTTGAGTAGCGTGAGTGCTAAATGCTATGGACTTACTTTGAGTTTCCTCTTCCGTAACTTCTTCTCTCCTCTCTCGGCTTTAGCGTGGGTATAACCTTGATCATTCTTAGTATGATTACCCATCAAGGCGATTTATCTAGGTGAGCTATATGAATCTCTCAAGGGACATTCCTGTAGATTATATCCCTTCCAGAGTATCAAGCCCCAGGTACACTCGTGCACTTATGGTAGACATAGTAGTTACACTAAGCATGTCAAGTTAAGGCTCAAATTCTTAGACGTAGCCTGGTTGGCTAAACGGCTTTGTTTTACGGGGAAGATATTATAGAAGTAGACATATTATATCTACATTGAGTGCACGAGTACACCTGGGACTCGATACTCTGGAAGGATTATTGCCCAGATGGGATTTGATATTTTGAGGAAGTCTTGTTGTTACTCAAGTATTAGATGGAGAGAGGGAACCTGGTTTGGTAGAGTGATTAGTATTCGTTGGGGTTGTGGGTTGCGAATAGGCTTGTGGATGAAGTCGTTGAACTATATTAGATGGTTGCTACTTTTGTCTGTGCCTTGATCAGCCTGGATTTGTACTTGTTGATATGATTGAGTAGACAGCTCCTTGGTATGATTTGGAGATTCCTGGATAAGCGATCGACCGAATTTTCTAACTTACAAGGTTCCTATGGCTGAAGGTTGATATGGAAGAAGGTGTTATTTGTTTAAATTGTTTTTTATCTTTGTTAGTTCATTTCACTAGTTTTTTATAGTAGAAGAACTTTTTTTCCGCAGTAAATCTGGCCGTTTGATTTAGTCCAAGTGTTAGCGAATCAAAAACTCGAAACATAGGAGTTGAGATCAGTTCCAATTCCCTTGATACTCTAGGTCGGAAACATACGCTATGTGATTGGAAGAAGGGGTGCTGTCCACAGTCAAATGGGCTATAGGGAGGAAGCTTAACTTCATGGCATAAATCGGGAATAGAATTTAAATGAGTGTTGTTTACTACCGGTAGTAAGATAAGTAAAGCCAAATAATAATTTGACCGCGCCATCAAAAAATTAAACCCTTCAGGTCTTCCAAAAAGCGAATATATCGTGGGCAAAGTCCCACGCATAACCGCGTTCTCTAAGAAGTCTTCCATTTGAAAAGCACAGTATAATAAGTATCAGAATTATCCTGCAACAACAATGTCTCCTCATGATCCTCTCCATACTCCGCAGCCGACTCTGCGCGCTGTTTCAAAGTCTCAATATCCGTCTCTTTGAACTTGAAATGTATGACTTCGTCGTCCGCTATGCCCTGACCACTTTCGATTTTCGCAAACAATTCAGCAACGCGTTCTTCCGCGTCATCGCCATCACAGAGACTTCTCCACTTGTCCGACACGAGGTCCGTTACGAAAATGGTGTCGACGTTTCCAGCTGCGTGTACCATTGCCTCTTTGTATATTTCGCGATCGGACATCTTCGGATGAGATCTGGTGTTTGAACTTTTGTAATAGCTATTTCAATTGTCTTTTAGGTCTTTCGTTCAGAGTTTTATGTGATAAGAGGAAAAGATGCAACAAAACGAGATGAAAAAGCGCCAGGAAAAGCATTTTTATATCTAGCCCATCGAGATCAAAAGCATGGCCACATAGAATCCAACGTATCCTTTGTTCCGCATATAGCCTTGAGTTCCCCCTATACAGTCCCCAACATCCAGGGATACTTCATATCGTAAATGCAAACGGAAACCCACATTATGTTCTAATGTTGGATTCTTTGTTTGTAGTAGAAATAAGGCTCACACCAGTTGACAAACTGTGGCGTGTTGAGGTCACACCCCTAGTTAGGCGAGGGTACTAACATTCTTCGGTAATGCCTAAACCAACATAGACATGATGAATATAAATAGCTCTTACATCCTTTCTAAACGACAAAGGAATTGGAACCCTTGATGTAGTAAAGGTATTCATTTTTATAAGATTTTGACCACTTGGATTCGCTTTAAGTGGGCGATTTCTTAGTTTCTTATTACATGGCTTTGGGCTTGGAAGGGGTATAACATAATAAACTTAAGCGGAACAGGGGTTATTTGGCTCTTAACATCCCCGTAGGCTTGCTAAAATAAAAGGTCAGATGACTAGCATTCTCTATAGGTAACAGTAGAAAGCGTACCTTATATAGCCACTTACTATATATATGTATAAGTGTACTTGTAACTAGAATATTAGGGGAGCGAACTTAGCGTGTCTAATAGGAAAAAGCGATGCGGGGTGCCCTCTAAAGTAAAAGACATATTTTATCACTCTTCTAATACTCTTCTTTTACTTTTTTCGCTTTCTCTCCTATCCCTCTCTCCCTCTACCAATCGCCTTATATATACCTACATTCCCTCTATTTCTCTGTATTTTTCGGCCGCACACTTTAACTAAGCCAACTGTAGGCCCGTGTACGAGTCTTCGAGTACCCCATATATCAGGGTAATAAGGTAGAGAGACTGGCGAGTACCGACAAGCTCCTTTAAGAAGCCATTCTAACATGAACACACAAAGAAAGTATCTCAGATTAGTCATTCGAATGAGAGCCTCATCACCGTTAGGATCCTTACGGGATGCATGGATTCGTGAGCGTAGTCCCAAGGCACTTTCCCTTGTTGAAATATTCTATGGCAACCTGAGCAGAAACTTGAGGATGTCGACTGTTCAAATGATAGGTTTCTACATATGATCACCATTAAACAGTTCACCCCGTTTCAACAAGAGATTCAATATAACATTACGTCCAAACCCGAGCTCCTTTGACTAGCCCTCGAATCAAAACCCTGGATCGTCTTCGAGATCCAAAGAAGCGAAACCCATAAATCCCTTACGTTTATTTCGATCAACTAACTTTATTCTTGGGATGTCCAATTTCTTTGTTATGACTGCAACCTATTATCAGATGTTAAGCAAGGTAGGACAGCTGGAGGTAGCTTGTGTGGCTGCTTTAAGGTATTAGTGGTTAGTCTTTAGCGATCAGGATCCGGAACATGATTCCATGGGACTCTAGAATTTTCTTCCATGTACATATTTGAAGATCTCCGCTAAGATGCAATGGTATATTCTAGAGAAGAGGCTTCGAGAATTGTCGGATTCTAGAGGGTATATATATATATTACTTTTAAAGCAGCAAGGGAGTAGAGTTTGAAGTGAAATATTCGAAACGGTAATCAAGCAATTAGAGATTCTGGCAATTATTCCACTAGATCGGTGAGTCGCATGCCACTATCTTCGTATAAAATACTCAATGCGTGCTACCGTAGTCCACTACCACTATAGGTGGAAAGATTCCGACTTCTACACATACAGTAGATCAAAGAGATTCCCGCCTAGGATCCCCAACAAAATAACTTATATTTATAGAATCGGATTTATACTCCTGATTATCAATGCCCAATGCAATGCCTCCTCTTCCTGTTGTTTTAAAGGACCAGAACAACGATTTTACGGGTCTCGTACGTAATACATCAAATTCCAGAATTGCGGCATATTCCAGACCCCCTTCTAAGTGGATCAGAATGATCCATTGAAACGGTCTGGAAGAGATCCAGCTCGCGATCGCAGGTCTTTCGTGGATCTGGGATACCGTAATAGTGATACGCTGTTACACCAACATCAGGATGACTCCATGGCCACCGAGCTCCAATGATAGTTCGTCCAACCAACATTCTTTTATAGACCACCTCCTACCTAATCCACAGAAAGTCTGATATAACGTAAAAGCTTGGAGAGGAGTCTCAAGCAGATTTTTGATTCGAAGATTAGCGTAGAAGGGGAATACAAGGCTACTTGAGTAGTATACTTGAGTGGTGCGTGAGGTACTTTAGGTAGAGTAGAGTAGGGTAGAATAAAGTCCTACTTACGATAAATAGTAACCATACTATCGTTTGAGCTATGTATAAAAGAAGTAAATTAAACCGTAACGATTAAACTGGTTAGAATAATACCCGGAGGTGTTGGGGTGTTACAATAGTTCTTGGACAGAGTAGAGTAGGTGCTACTACTCTAATCTACTCCACTTCTTTCTTACGCGCTGAGTAATATAGACAGACCATGATTATCGCTTATGGCAGCATTTCTAGGGGGGTAAAAGAGTATACAACTTATATAAGAGCGGGGAAGCAATATAAAAAGGGGCAACTTTACTCAACTTAAACGGACCTACTCAAGAAGATTATTAGTATGAGTATAACAACACCGAGAACCTTCTTATAGATATGTACTACATTAAGTTAATCTTGTTTTATTAGTATAAATATATATTATCAAGTCTATAGAGATATATGATTTGAACGTAAAAAAAGGGGGGAGAATAAGGTAGTAAAGTTATATAATAGTATCCTATCAATTAATCCTGAAATCCAAGCAGTAGACTTCACCAGCCTCCTAAAAGCCTCGACGTTATCAATTTAGGTCAATAGACAAAGTAATTAACAAACAGCCAGCCTTCTTAATAAAGTACCACGCAGAATCACGTTCCTAATATTTAGTCTTCTTACATCCTCAACGCCGAATTAAGTTTTTCAACCTTCCATGCAAAATGCACACCCCTGTATGTATCCCTGTTTTTCAAATCCATAGCTTCTGTATGCCCTATTCCATTAATCGAAGCAGTCGATGCAAAACCTACCAACCAACCACGACTTTCATCGATGAACCTGAATTCTAGGCTTTCTTCCCCGGGTCTCTTCTGACCCTTGCCGATTTTTCCAAAAAGTTGCACTAGGTGTCCGTCCTTTATGTCCCATTCGAGACTTTCCCACAAATGCTCTCCAAACATATATGGGTAGTCTTCATTCATGTTCACTCTTTTGGCCTGATCGACCATTACCTGCTTAAATGGCTTGCGGTCGGATATCTCGCGGTTGGATATCTCGGACGTCTCAGACATTCTGCAGTGAAATCTGACGTTGGAAATTTTGTAGAAGATGTATGAATAGTTTTTGAGTGTTTGAATTGGATATGTATCTGATGAGAGGTAAAGACGCGAGAAGATGATGCAAAAAGAGCGGGGTAGGGCATTTTTATATCCAGTCTAACAAGAATCAAACTACTACTATATAGATTTGATTCGATCGATAATATCCTTTGTTTAAAATCTAGCCTTGGCTTTCCTCTTCCACAGTCCCTCACGCCTAAGGCGAAATCATATTATAAATAAAACTGGCAACCAACATCGTGTTCAACAGTCCCCAGCATCCAAGGGTATCTAATATTACTAACAAAAATGGCGATTAACGTCATGTCCAAATTTTAGGTTCTTTGTTTGTAGTAGAAACAAGTTCTAACTGGTGAGCCAGTTGACAGGCTGCGGCGTGTTGAGATCACACCCCTGGTTAGGCGAGGGTACTAACATTCTTCACTAACTCAACACAACCTTGATGAGCAGGATTGGACTTTTTGACCCTTCCAAAGGACAAAGGAATAGAAAAATTGGTACCCCTAAATGGAGGAAAGCATGACCCCATCTAATCACTATCCAACAACTCATCCTATCCCAACAAGGACATTAATCCAATGATGTATCCAGACCCTCGCTCCATTGACGAGTCCTTAATCACCCCTGAAATCCGGAAAGACAAAACCAATGAATCCCTATGTTCATTCCAGAGAACTACCATCGCTCTAAGCAAGTCGAAATTCTTTTTTGAAACAGCTGATGGTGGTTGGCATGGGTGGGTTTTAGATATCAGTGGTTGGCTCTTGATAGATCTGGGATATCGTAACACACTGTTACACCAACACCAGGATGACTTTACGATCGCCAATAACTTCCCGTCCAACCAACATTTTTTCTTGATTGTCAAGTCCTGTTATAGATAAGCCAATGCTAACGCCAAAGCTTCAATGAATCTACAGGGAAGCTCTCAAGTTGAACTGTAAGACGACGATGTCTTCCTTTGAGAAGGTTGAACAAATGGTTAAATGTAACACTATATGCGGATTGTTGACATTTACTATGGCTTTGGGTGTTGGTAGAGGATTTGGAAAAGTATACAACTTAGCCAAGGGCGGGGAAGTGACACAAAAAGGGGTAAACCTCGCTTAACTTAGAATGACCTATTAAATCAGACCAATATAAGTGTGACATTACGAAAAACATCTTGTGCACTTGCACTCCATTAAGTTCGCTCCACTTCTTTGGTAAATATGCATCAATGGATGATTCTGAAGGTAAAAATGGAGGAAGAATGAGGTGGCAAAGTCATGTGATAGTACCTTACCAAGCATTGGTTCCTGGAATCCGATTGGTAGATTCACTTCCAGCTTCCCAAAAGCCTCGACGTCATCAAGTCAGGTCAACAGACAGAGTAGTTAATAAATGGCTTTCTTGATCATTTGCATCGTATTTTCCCTTCTCCTCCTCACTCTCTCTATCCTCCCAGAACTCCTCCAACTAGCAAAACTTTTACCAAAACCACAAAGTCTACCTACATATCACCATCGTCAATATGCCAGCCGGACCAGACGAGACGGATAATCACCAAGCTGGCGCCGCCACAGAACATGTCATGAAGAACCCCTCCTCCAACACCGAGGGAGGCAGCGACCACCCGCTTCACAACCAAGGTCCACCTAAGGGTGACAAAGTCGAGTTCCGTCATCATGAAGCTCATCCCGGCCCAGCGATTCCCAAGGACTTCTCGACGCAAGAAGAGGGTACGAAGGAGGAACGTAAGGCCAAGGCTGCCGAGCTGAACAAGTGATGCCCAATGGTACTTATCGCGAGCGCTTTCTTTCTTGGATCATAAATCTGATGTGAGGAGCAGGCCATCAAAGATGTAGGCTGCCATTGAATGGATTTTCGGCAGGGAGAGGGCGTTATGGAATGGGCACAAGCATGGGATATGATATATCAATTGCGCATAGGAGGGATATTGGCTATTGAACATCACATCGCATCGCATGGGGTGCTGCAATCGCACTTACCGGCTGGTAGTAATGAAAGATATTTGCAGAGGAATTCTTGTACTGTTCTCAGAACTGAAGTTGGATTGTGAAGTATATGTATTGCTAGATCGCATGGTGCCTGACGTAGTGCTTTCTGGATTCATGCATATGCTTATTGTGATATTAACAATTGAGCATGGTCGGATGCTACAGTTAACATACCAACATATGTTCTCTCTGCCACAATCGCATCAATTGATTCAAAGAGCGAAGATACGTGTCATGAACCGCCATAAGCGTAGAGGAGACTTCCCGTTGGTGTCGTGTGAGGTTGGATGGCTCAACTCACAAGGTTCGCCTGTTCCTGCGCTCTTCCATGTTCTCAGCCACAACAGGGCTGCCGCCTGCGGGCTATGACTGACTTGGCAGTTTGGCGGCTACGTACGTACACAGTACACAGTGAGAGTTGAAAGAGAGACCGAGCACATCACCTCAGCACCACACCCACCGACCCAGTCCAGCCGACGCGGCCCATTCACTCTGCTGCAATTGTGAATCAATGTGTGCCTGAACCCTCTCTGCTCCCCGGAGATATCAGAGATGCGCATTTGAAATTGCCAACCTCTGCTTCACCGACTTTCGACCCATCCATACGACCATACGCCACGTCCCAATGCGCCCCCCGCAAACCGTCATTTCTCGAACCCAATTTAGCCCAAGTTTCGGAACAAGCCCGACAGACAGCCTGAGAGACAAAACAATCAACCTACGAGCAGAGGGAAGAACCTCTCGCTGAACCCACGGAGTTCTGGCCACTAATCAGCAGGGGAAAAGAAAAGAAAATGCCTTCTATCCTGTCCGACGAAGACAAGGAAACCGTCAAGCGGCAAGTCCCCAAGCAGTCCAACAAGATCCAGGCAGTAGCCGTCGCCCAACTCTATGTGGCATATCCCAATCGCCAGAGATGGACATACACAGGATTGCAGGGAGCCGCCGTTCTGGCCAATGATCTCGTGGGAAATACATACTGGTTGAAGATGGTGGATGTATCTGTACGTCAAACTTCTGAGCAGACTACCGGGAATGAGTACTGACAAGTGGTAGCCCGCGCAAAGAGGTGTGATATGGGATCAGGAAATATACGATACCTGGACATATAACCAGGATCGCACTTTTTTCCATACCTTCGAACTCGAAGACTGCCTGGCCGGTCTCTCTTTTGTGGACGAGAAGGAAGCCAAGACCTTCCTGAAGAAGATGAATGAGCGGGAGAAGAATGCCAGTAAAGCGACCAAGGCAAATCCATTTGGGGGCGGAGGAATACAAGGTGGACATCGACATCATGGCTTATTAGGAGGTCTGTTTGGAGGACATAGACATTCATCCGCTCCTTCGATACAGCCGACCCCTCCAGAATCACCAAGCTATGCTGTGCCAGCAGCCGCTGCAGCACCAGGTAATAGGCTTTCTGGAGGTAGTTTTACTGGAGGAAGATCACAATTTGCCGCGCTGGATGCCATTGATCCCAACTGGAGGATAACCTGGGGCGACGATTTGAAGCGAATGGGAATCACAGACGACCTCATTCGAGATAACCAGGACTTTATTGCGGATTATATAAGAGAACAGCAAGCCCTCCAAGCTCAAGCTTTGGCCATTGCGAATGGAGATGAAAACCATAGGATAAAAGCTCCTCCACCCCCACCACCGGCTGCAGCTCCTTCTATAACGAGTTCCGTGAGCTCTGTAACTCAACATGTAACGGGCGGCAGAGGTCCACCACCACCACCTCCTGCACCAAGGAGATCCAAGGCCGATGTGCCCAGAGAGCCAACTCCTCCTCGCGATTCTTCTCCCCCTCGGGCTGCCCCAATGAGATTTGCTGCACCGCCTCCATTTGCGGATGCTGGAAAGTTTGCCAATACTAACCAAAAGCCAACCCTACGACCTCATAAAAACTCGCTTTCCAATCCTGGACCACCTCCGCCTCCGAGACCTGCAAAAACTCCAATGGATGATTCTTATGAGCCAGGGGAATCTGGTTCTAAATTCGGTGTCCCACCACCATTTATGGGCGAACGAAAGTTAGGACCTCCAACTCCAAGTCGCGGCGGTCCCCCACCTCCTCCTCCACGAGATCTAGGGCAACACAATCATCAATCTCATGCTGTCGCTCCTGCACATGTACCCCCGCCTCCATTACCACCCAAAGCAGCTTCTTCGGCACCCCCTCCTTTACCACCGCCTTCAACGCGTCCCATACAACATGTTTCACGAGACAGTGGACCTCCTCAACCTCCTCCTCTACCCCCAACAGCCGCTCCATCCCTACCTCAGTCAAGCCCGCCCCCTCCTCCTCCTATGCCTCAAACACGAGCACCTCCCTCCCAACCTCCAATGCCTCCACCAATGCCGAATTCAAATGCCCCTCCTCCACCGCCTATGCCACAATCAAATGCTCCCCCACCTCCTCCAATGCCGAATTCAAATGCTCCCCCACCTCCTCCAATGCCGAATTCAAATGCTCCTCTGCCTCCTCCAATGCCGAATTCAAATGCTCCTCCGCCTCCTCCGATGCCAAATTCAAGCGCTCCCCCGCCTCCTCCAATGCCAAATTCAAACGCACCGCCTCCACCACCTCCTCCAATGCCATCTTTCGGCGGACCACCTGGACCCCCTCCCCCACCACCTCCAGCAGCGAACCGGGATTCCGGCTATCAATCAAGTGCCCCAGCACTTCCTCAACCAACGGGCGATCGCGCAAACTTACTCGCGGGTATCCAGCAGGCAGGTGGTATCGGTGCATTAAAGAAAGTGCCCAAGTCGGAGGTTCGTGACAGAAGCAGTGCTATGGTTCCTGGAGGTGCAGATTCGGGTCCAGCTGGAAGTGGAATGCCTCCTGCTGGATCTACTACTGGCGGTGGTGGTGGACTGGCCGATGCTCTAGCAGAGGCCTTGAATAAGAGGAAGCAGAAGGTTAGCGCTAGTGGTATGTTTACATTTTCTTTTCTCCCTACGACACTTCTTTCTTTAGAATTGATAAACTGACTCCATCACAGATGATGAGGCAGACGAAGACGATTGGTAGGTCTGATGTTCAGGGAAGTTTTTTCAAGTCTCTCTTCTCATTCAGTCATTGAGGGACGGAAAGGGAAAAGTTCAGTATAAATATTTTGGGGGAGGTTTTTTGTGAGAGTGGAAATTGAGGCGTTTTGTGTTTTGTGGTGGTTAGTCAAGCAGTTCTTGGCTTCGTTCTCTTTTTTGTTCACAGTAGAACTGCATGAGATGGGGGTTAGTGAAGGATTGGAATTGGGAGGGTTGGGTTTGGGGTGAGGGTTTGAGTGGGATGGGAAGCGGGACGGGGGATGGGGGCTGGTTGTTGGGGATAGATAAGCTGAGATGAGGGAGTGGAAATGATGAATGTAATAAACAAATTTACCATGGCCATTCCATAGAAGGATTTGCGCTAAAAGTTGTGAATGGAGAACAGGCTAGGTCCAGGGGGTGAGTCAAGAGGGAGAGAGACGATGTTGATTTCCTGTCTCGCGTAGGGAGCGTAAATTGTCTGATAGAACTCACGCGAATGTAGATCATGTCAATACTACCCGTACGAACAGGAAGCTGAAGCAGAAGCTCAAGTCATGAAGTTAAGAGTCCAGAAATCATGCGGTAGTATGTATTCTATGAAGTATGTCTGAACCATGTCCACAGGGAGAAACCATCCCAACACCAGATTTAGAAGTCCCCTCCCTAAGCAGAGCGGAAAGAAACAGAGAAAAAGAAGTAAAAGTCCCAATCCGATGAATCGACAACGTCTCTCCCGTCGCAAAACCCATCGGATCAGTCAGAAGAAGCCATTTCATAAGAAAATGCTGTCGAGGTTCTCATGGAGGGTCTCGATCTTGACCCGGGATTCCATGAGATTGAGAGAGAAGACAGTCTTTCTTTCCTTGTATTTTTTCCATCGCGGTAATGTCCTTTGTTTTCCCCCGGTTGGATTACCACCAGCCCTTGTCTTGCGTTGGAAGGTACTTGTCCAGTTGTGTGAGGTTGCAAGTACTTCCAAGCACGTACCAACACACCCCAGAGATGCGAAAGATGTATTTTCCGCCCACACATTTAGATGTCGTCAATCTCAATCTCCTTTCCACCCTTTCCGTCATCATCGTCACTCTCGCTTCGGTCCTCGTCGAATTCGAAATTGCAGTCTCCGTCTCCCTCTTGGCCGTAGGTATCCGTCTCGTTGATCTTGGCGGACTCAGGAAGTTCTCCGTACGCTTTCAGACTACGCGCTTCGTCGGCAGAGTACTTGAGGATTACGTCGCCTTTCTCGTCTTGATAGTCTCGGAGCGAAAGGAGGATGATGTCTCCTTGGTTGATCCAGACCTTCTTTCGAAGTTTTCCACGGATGTGGGCAAGTCGTTTGGAGCCGTCGAAGCAGAGGGCTTCAAGGCGACCGTTGCCTAACATTTTGAGGACTTGTGCGTATTCTGTTGGTGCGCTTGGTGGTTAGCGGTGGAGCATTGGCAGGATGGCAGAATGGCGGGGTAGTGGGAGGGTTTGGATTGAGAAGTATATATCGCGAATGACGTACCTTGGCCTTCTTCTTTGAAGGTGAGCTCACGCTTCTCGTTGTCGTTTTCATTCTTTCCACGACGACGATTCTTACCACCCTATTGTTTCCTCGTGTCAGCTTGCAAACATCGCCTCTATTCACACAGTGGCGGGGGTGCTTACCTTTCCCTTATTCTTAGGCATATTGACGAGGTTTCTCGATTAACTGTGAGGAGAAATTGCGACGAGCGTCGGTATCGGTCGTGATGTTGGAGTGGGAAGTATGCTTGTGCAGTTGTGGAGTTTGTCGGCGGGGTGTGAAAGGATAATATAAGTACACAGTGTTTGGCTTGCGATGGTGGGGCGGACCTTTCAGTGTGGTGCGTCACGTTTTCAGCCTTCAAAGCGAGGATCTGTGGCTTGGCACAGATTTAGAGGGTCAGTGCTAAGCCACTAGTACGGATATTATTGACTTCACAAGTAAATAACCACTGTCAAGCACCATCATTTCGCAAACATGATGAGAATAATCGGAATATCCAGTCATAGTCAATGTTAGCGCCCTATTTGGTATCATGCGATATCTCTGCGATCTAGCCCTTTCAATCACGACGACTCCATCCCGACAATCATAATGGCTGGGCTCCTTCGCAATGGAAGAATCCCCGTCAAACCATCCAGACTGCTCAGCCCGTTACAATCCGTGGGAGCGAATAAAACGATTGCAATGAGCACGTTTTACTCTCCTCATTATGTCTTCGCCCTAAGCAGCAACCGGTATACTTCAGAAGCTGATACCCTAGCAAAAGAATGGGCCGAAAGACGATACAACACGAGATCAGAGCTATTCTGGTGGACCTGCATAACGAAAAAGGAAACCTTAACCAGCAAGAAAACCCTGAGAAGTTGGATAGCTAGGCGAACGAGGATGGCATTCGTGGAGAGTTTGAGGAAGAGGGGATATGATTCGGATGGGACGCGATTGGATCCTACGGATGGAGGGAAGGCGTTATATGGGACGGCGCAACTTCTGGTGAGGGAGCCTTGTATTTTTATGAAAACAGAGGATGTGAGAAAGGAGACGGACTTGGCTCTTGAGATTATTTTTCAAAGGATGAAGAAGCTGGAGGGTAAGCAGAAAGATGGCCAGGTTGCGAAAGCACCCAAAGCATCCTATGACGGGAGAACGAGTACGTTGAGACAAGGAAGTCAGAGAAGATATGAGATATCCAAAACTTTGGCATCGACAAAAAGTCAGAAGCAATGGAGCGAGGGGAAAGGCATTATTCGAAAGACATCAGAGAGAGTGCAAAACGAGGAGCAAGGTATTGTTCGAAGGACAACGGAGAGGGAGCGAATACTCGAGCCAGGAGCAGATACCAACAAGAAGCCGCCTCGAAATAGAAGCCATAATGGGGGTTTCACGATAGGGAGGAAAATTCAATGATCTAGCCTGCTGAGATGAACGCATATTCCATGAGCAATACTTCTACACTGCCTTCCTGGCTATGCGTACTTCCACCTCACACTTTACGGCTATATGGATTTTGATATGGCCATACGATATGATTCACGCTCTTATGATAACTTGTGGTCCAGTCTGAGCCCGAGGATTTACAAGAAATTGTAACTAGGACCGCTAGCTTGGATTTGTTAAGAGGATATTTGGTATCTCTGTGTGAGGTTAACCGCGGCTGCTTCAAGCATAAGATAGACTTCATGGTCTAGACAACCAGGAGGATTCCAAGCGTGAGCATAAGATGAGTATTACAAAATCCTCCTGTGATCCCTCCCGTTAACTGCAGCTGCAACACGGTATTTCAAAGAGGAAGGGAAACTCGTGTCAGCTCTTCACGGGTACTTCTATCATGGGAGGTTCTAGGTAGATGTTGCTATCAGCCACTCCCCTTGATGAACTGGACTTTACATTCCACTAAGGGTTCTTACCCTGGGAGACATAGGGCTTCGTCAATTTGATAAGCAACCAATTTGGCGGGTGAATTATAAAGTCAGATGTGTTGGTAACGAATATCCTGTTCATATGCTTCCAATACTCCTCAACACTGTGAGACCTTAAACTAGTACCTATACAACCTTAGCCATCTTTTGTAAAGTAGATTGCTTTTGTAAGGTAGATTGTTGATTAACCAAATCTGGTCATATCATTCAAAAAGCTTCTGCAAAATTGTATTTCTCTCGACCTGTGAGCAAAAACGGATTTAGAGTTCTGGACGAGTGCGTATTCATCTCGTAGCTGCTTGAACCCTGCTAGCCAATCACAGCACTGCCACAAGGCTGACGGCGTGGGCCCGAGCGCCCAAGGCTCGAGGCTCAAGGAGCAATGGAAGCTCCAGTTATTGTCGCAACGTTTCCACCTGTAGAACTTCTTCAACAACCTCCACCAACTGAATCTGCGATGTTGATCTCACTGACGGTTGGAAAAGTCGATGCAGGCGTCGCCGTCTTGCTGACGAATGATAAACGACTCGTACGTTGCGTTGTACCCCGGAAGATTCAAGATTCCCTTCATACCCAACAATTTCCGGCGACCCTCTGACCAAGCTAATGACAACCCATTCAGATTGAGTTCCCCTCTATTCTCCTTCCACCAAACATCTCCTCTGGGAGCATTGTCGATATTACCGTCTCGAGAAACTTTACTTCTGAACAAAAATCCCAATCCGCCTTCCTCGCGCTTCAAGACTCCATATTCTCGTCATTTGGGGATTCAGAGCCCCTTCCACCAGTCCTTCGCTGCAAGAATGCCACTCAAACCTCCGTAGTCCTCGAATGGGATCCTATCGAACTCGCCACAGCCGATTGCATTTCGCTTTCTCTATTCCGTAATGGGCAGAAGGCAGGGAACATCCCGCGCCCGACCAGTATGCACACCACCAAGATCAGTGGTTTGGCGGTTGATACGGAATACTCCTTCCATTTGGTTTTGAGAACGAGTGCTGGAACATTCAGCAGTGAGAAGTTGGTAGTCAAGACACATAAGATGACGGACTTGAGCGGAATCACCATCACGCCTGGAATTCTGCATGCCCAAATCAGAGACAGTCTCACCACTGCAGTTGAGAGAATAGGAGCAAAGCTGGCAGATTCAGTACGAATTGACACAACACACTTTGTGACCACTGAAGGACGAGGAATAGCATGGGAGAAGGCCGTGGAGATGAACATCCCAGTTGTGCGGCCAGAATGGGTAGAAGGATGTGAAAGAAATGGTCGAATCGTGGGTGTAAGAGAATATTACCTAGATGCCGACCCAAGCAAGCGCCAGATCCCACCTCTTCGCGAAGCATCACCACCAAAGGAACCCTCGGTCAGTCCGCCCGCGGACCGAAGAACGAACGGAACGAATGGAAGCTCTCAAGGCATACCACCTACACCACCAGCAAAGGACACACCTAAACCAGACGATGAAGTAAGCAGCGAAGAGGAGGCCGACGAGGAGAAATCCAACGTACAAGATGAGCAGAAAGTCCGGGTCGAAGATCGCGAACAACATAAAGTCGCCCTTCGTCCGAATGAGTTGTCGCCACCGAAACCCGAGGAGAGGGAGAGGGAGAGACAGGGATCTGATTCATCGCCCGCTTCTGGTAGTAGGACGCCTGGACAGTCCAGTTTCCAAGATATCGCTCTTTAGTTTTCTGTTGTCCTCGGCCATTTTGCGCCCTGTTCCCATATACCTAAGATGTTTTTTTCTTTCTTCTGCTTTTGCGCTGGTGGGCTGGGATGCGGGTGGAGCTAAGCGAATGTTTTTGGAACTGACTTGGGGTTTGGGGGGAAGGTATCCCTTTCTTGCTTGTAGGTAATTCTAAAATGTGCAAATGCAGATTCTTGAAAGCCTTTAGAAGAAAAGTTCTGCTTTTAGATTTGATGTATTAAATTTTGGTGGGGGTGCGATCTTGATTGTTGTTTTGCCGTCATTGTACAACACGGGCTGAATGGACGATGAATATAATTCATTGCGCTCTTCTATGCTTAGCTATACTTGCTTCTATTTATACTAATAGGGTAAGGCGTCTAAAGTAATAATCACGTCTCTTGTGTCTTTTTCTTGAATTATCGTTTTCGCTACCTCACTTGACTTTTGGAGAGAATGGGAAAATGAGAGAAATCACTTTGGGTAATCAGACTTATGGGTGGGTTTAGGAAAACATGAATGGTTATCTGAAGCTTCCTACAAGAATCAAGAAGCTATCTAGATAGAGGTTGTTCGTTTTCGTCGCCACCTGCAATTGGGGGTCCTTATAAAAAAGAAATTATCCTCATTCCTCATTTATCCTTCACCCTATGCCTTGTTTTCTCCGCTGTCGCTGTCAATGTCGATATCAATTTATCCTCCTTGCATTTGGCCCCTTCGTTAAGAAATACTACGTCGCCCACATCTCCAAGTCTAGCTTTGGGGAATGTGAAGTATGGTACCTTATTTTTCTTCCACAAAGAAATTTGTACGTACCCTATACTCATCGTGTCCATAGTATGGTTCAAGATCTGGTCTCGCAAGATTAAGCATGTCCATGAGCATTTGCTTTGGTACATTTTGTTCAGGTACCAATTTAACATTAGTTTGACAGGTCAACCGATCAAGAAAGAACCTTTGTAGCGGGCTGTCATCCATGGTGTTGTCGTACATGCGCTCAAACTTTCGACATAATTCAATGCCGTGTATATCATCAGTATCCGGAAACGCGTCCGCGCCAAGGATCGACATGGCCTCATTTTGGAGTCTGGGGATATTCAACCGATCTGCCAGGAGCCATAACTCGAGAAGGTTTTCGCGTAGGAGTGGCTCTTTGTTGCTACGTTCGATTCGCTGGCAGTAGAGCCAGTTGACGAAGATTGAGAACGCGGTTGGGCACATTTCTTCGAGGTGAACTGTCTGGCTTTGTCCCTCTTGAAATGGGCCTTCGAGTGCAGCGGTGAAGTAGTGTGAGTAGAAGCAGAGGAATGATTGGTGGACGAGAAATTCTTTGCTGCTATCATCCAAACTGACTTTTACCACAACGATGGGCTGTGAGGTTCTGAAAGAAGTTAGCGTTGAGGTAAGATACTTGTTTTTAGACTTACTCAAAAGTTGGGAGATCTTTCTTCTTGTCTTAGGTAGACATTGTTGAAGTTTTCTCGTCAGGATCGCTGAGCTCCTCTGAATCTGATTTTCCTCCAAGTATTACTCTCTGTTTGCCCTTCTTGCCCCTCTTGCCACTCGCGCTCATGAGTGCGTGCACAGCCTCCGAGTAATCCATGTTGGTTATCCTGGCTGTGTTGAGGTGGGAAGTTGTTGAGAATCCTTGATGTGATGAGCAAGCACGAAGCAATGGTCTAGGAATAGGTCTGGTATATTAGGTAGAATAGATAACACTAGTAAGTTCGGTGGCTAGAGCACCAGCCTCAAGCTGCATACGTTGCCTTGGTGAAGCCCAGCCTATGTGGACTCAAACCTTTGAGCGCTGATATTCAAATTCACCGAGCTTAGAAATTGCAAGTAGAGGTTGAATCAGGGGGGTTTATTAGGTCTTGAGATTAATAAGAATACGTTAGAACAATGGGTGGTCATCATATTTGTCTACTCTACGCCTGTGAAAGTGAAATCCATTTGCTTCGGGGGTTCTGTATTAATGTTTTCCAGTGAATAGCTGTAGAGAACGACTTACACCATTATTTATCAGTCTCTTTACAAATCCGAGTATAGAACACTGACAGTTTCAAGTCTGTTTACATCTCTTTCATGATCTAGGTATGCTCTAACTTAAACTTGGCAAGTGTCTTCAAAGATACAGTAAGAGGCAGTAACTCAGAGGTAAAAATCGTTTTCTTTACTTCACATCTTCGGTGGAGGGGGCAGTTATTACCACTTCATACTTCATACTCGATAAATGCAGTGGCAAAAAGTCGCAAGTTTACCAAGGCAACTAGCCCCTTTTATTATGATAGCTCATACTTTCCTGATTGTTTATTTGAGTTGAGAACTTTATATGTGATACAACAGTGCTTGTAACTCGAGTCCCCTACTAGTGCTTGTTCCTACATTTGTCTCAGATCTACACACCCAGACTCAGCATAAGCTCATCATTTTTGTAGCCTCCACAAATATCTTCATTCAGTGTTGGTTTCCGCAAAAGGACTTGTGGAATCGTTGTCATCCACTGCGCTACTTGTCGTGACGACCTCAAGACCACCTTCAGAGGGACTTGAACCTTAACCTGTAATCCATGTTAACTCATGTTATGTTTTTTGCCCCTTATTTCTTTGGTTCCCTACAATAGGCGATGACAGAAAGGTATGGTGGAACTGTATAATAGCGAAATGAATTTGATCCATCATGTTTACATGGTCTATCTCTCTATGTGTAGCTGTTGCCAAGTCTCGCAATCTAGCCTATAGCTTCTACTAAAGAGCCAAGTGGCAGAAAACAATAATTAATTTCACCAATAATGCTCATTGAGTTGCTGAAGGCACAAACCAATGCCACCCATCCGCTATGGGATGTGTTTCGTCAAAAAGACTACTTCGTAAAAATACATCACTAGTGAAATGAAGTTTGTTGGAAATGCATTCACTCAAACCAATATTATTCACTCTTCAGAAGGCAGTATTACTGTTAGTGAACTGTGGAAAGTTAGGGGAACATGCTACAATTCACTGTCAAAATGCTTTATTATCCGATGCAGAAGTAGAAGCCTGGCCTCCACATCGAAGATTCATTGGCTATTCCAAAAGCCAACTATAATAAGGCTGGCCTCTACACCAAACTTTCTAAATCACACATCAATCTCCCATCCCAGTGTAATCTAACAACCAACCACAACGTCTACCGTCAAGAACTTTTTCATCTATGCAAAAGATATACAAAAGCGGTTCACTATTTACGACCCAAAATGTCTGATACCAAAGCTACACCTCCCAAGTTCAACCTGTAAGTTCTCTCCAGATGGAACGGAAGACATAAGCTAACCAAGGGTTGATAAAGCGGAGAACAGTCTACAGTGACCATCAAGGTCACCTCCAAGGCCAAGACGCAGACGTTCATCGTACACAAAAGCTTCATTTGTTACTACTCGCCTTTTTTTGCCGCCGCCTTTAACGGCTCCTTTAAGGAAGGCGAAACACAACATCTCGATCTTGAAGATGTCCATCCCAGCGCTTTCGCAGCATTCATCCATTGGCTCTATACACAACGGATCCTTCACCAACGCGGAGATCTGGGGCCTGGGGCTACAATGGGTGATGTTGTTGAGCTCTGGGCCTTAGGAGATCGGTTCTTAGTCCCTCGACTGTCTAACGAAGTACTAAAGATTCTTTCATGCCAGGACTGGTTCCTATATCCTCAAAATACTAGCGCTTATTTGTGGCGTCGTATCTATGAGACGACCACGAAAGGAAGCAAACTTCGACGATTCATGATCCGTATAGGTTCCGAAGTATTGTTCGACCGTGGCTATGCTAAGGATCAAGTAGCTCTTGAGAAATATCCCCACGAAATGCCAGCCGATGCGATCGCGTGGAGAAGAGATTACCACGTAACAGAAGGAATCTATTTTGGAGAACTAGATTGGCCTGTAGATGATGAGACATTGAGAAAATACTATCTTGATGAGAATGAGGTATTTCTCCTACTCACACAATCATTCAAAACCCCCATGTGCTGACTAGTGCTGTAATTACACAAAACCTAGTTTCCGAGAGTATAGCAAGAAGATCCAGCCTTTTAACCTCGAGGAAACCCAACTGAAGGAAGACATCAAGTCATCTGTAACGAAGGCATCGGCACATAAAGTGAAGAGAAAGTCAAAAGAGAGCTCTGATATCCATGATTCACTTCCAGGTAAGAGTCTCTAAAGTCTTTCAAAAAACTTCCCTCGCCATCAAAAATGCGGAAACTCATTTATGACGTATGTTTCTAACTAATTTAGGGCATCTCATACGCTTCTTTAATTGATTATTGTAGTAGAGAGATTCATGCAGAAGATTGATGTACCTGTAGGGAGAGTTGGGAACCAGGACTATAGCAGCACAAATTGGACATGAATCGTGGGAACTTGGGGGAAAAGAATTTCAGAGTGTACACCACTTTCCAGCAGGAAATCAAGTGTCTCGTAAATGTAGGCCCTAGAAAATAGCGAAGAGGTGCGAGCCACTTGGGTATTCCTTTTTTCGGAATAAATCATAGTAATTCCAGACCTTCCTAAAACGAAAATCTCAAGAAGACCACGTGATATCATCACTTCTCGATACTTAGGTAAGACCAATTATATGTTTAAGCCAAACCTTTCCCCAAAATATCACGCAATAAAAACAACTAGGCAAATGAATGGGATTTATATTAAGCTAGATACAATCCATCTTTAAAGTACGTACATACAAACCTTCTCTGATCAAAGTCTTCTTGTAATGCTTTACTCCCCTATTCGCTAAGCGAGCTTGGCATTCACAGGCAACGAAACACCAAATGTGAGAACAAACGCTGCAAACAAAAGCAAGAAGGTAACTCATTATGGAATCTTACTACCAAATGATTAGACAAATTTACCAAAACCATGCAAAGTCTGGTTTGCTTCAAAGTTTTGGCTGTCCTCGAGACCAAAACGCCATTTTGGGTTGGGCTACTTACAGGTAGAACTTGCGAAATACATCAAAAAACCCGTCATGAATATAGATCACAGTCGGATGACTCCTTGATTCTGGTAATGAACAAGTAGCAGATTTGCATAATCCTAGCTCTCTAATTCTTCATGGCTTGTAAAAGTGAAAATCATTACCTACCATTTGCACCACTTCTTGAATATGTGCCAAATATGATGTCGTACATTCTCAAGGCATTTGAAAACATTATAGCAGTTCGGACGTCTTTGCGGCCTATAATGGTTCCGCGTACCCACACTAAAACCCTTCTCATGTGTCTCCAGAAATGTTTCCAAGAATGCTCAAATCCCTCTACTAAAAAATCTATTGAAGCTTTAGGTTTCAAGACGCTGCTAGTAGATCATATCCATCTAGCTTGTGGCAGTGTGGGTCAGCACTTCCGAGACATAATTCCAAGAGGTATGGCAAAACGTCATGGAGAAGAGTCACAAGTGGCAAAGTTCCACAAAGTTCACTTTGGAGTCGGAAAAGTAATCACCGGTATCTGAGATTTTCGCAGTATACCATTTGGTTGGAAGCAGAACTCCTTGATGGAGTCAGCACAACCCAACACCCCCTCGACCCATTCATATCCCCAAATACCACAACCACTACCATAAAACCCTGTAACCTGCCCGCCTTACCCAGTCAATTAGTGTGTGTCTCCTTCCCCGATCCCATAAGGGCCACCACACAAGACCTGTTACCGCCCACCGTCGACCTCCACTACCCCCTCCCATCCACCCACGAATGTACCCCGGAAAAAAACCCACACCCTAACAGTGGGGTTTTCTCCAAGGGGCCTCCTAACTGCGATGCCGGGAAGCCTAAACGTTTTGTCTTTCTTTGTAATCTTTTGGCTTTATTTTTGGGGGGGGGGTTTATTTTTGGGTAGGTAGAAGGATTGGACTAGCGTGGTGCTAGGTATTCTTCACCTGCGACACGCGAACACAGCAATTATTGCAAACCTCAATTCACAAGCTGTCCGTTTGATAGTATGTCTTACAGATTTGCGCTCTTAATGAGGCTCTATCTTAGGACATAAACCCTATCTTTGTGTCGTCAGTATTTCCCATTAATAATCATCCTTGAGAACCTTTCAAGTCAAACTCAACTATTTGTATTCAAGATTGTCATAAGTCTCTGTGCAAATCCCTCACACCATGGCGGTAAGGTTATGTCCAAGCCTACGGTAAGTACAGAGTCTTCTGTTACCAGTATCATTCTTTTCCTAACATCCACAGTTACTCCACAGAGATGGTAACAGTAAACCTCCAATACGGGCGCGAGAAAGCCAGCTTCACAATTCACAAAAGCACCATCAGCCACCACTCGCCCTTCTTCCTAGCCGCCTTCAACGGAGCCTTCCAAGAAGGCCAAACCCAACAAATGACACTCACAGACGTCGATCCCAAAATCTTCACCATCTACGTCGACTGGCTCTACTCCCAACACATCTCCCCCACCTTCCTCTCCGAAAAGATCTTCATCCAGACACAGCTCCTCGCACATCGCTTCCTCTCTCCTAGACTCTGTAACGAGGTATTGAGAGCCTACAATCAGCTCCTCAAAACTCCAGGGGTATACCCCGAGATGCGCTATTTTAATCTTGCGTATGAGAATACCGTTGATGGGAGTCCGTTGAGGAAATATCTTGCTTCGCTGGCGGCGGGTGGGAGGTGTAGTCTAGGATGGAAGAAGAAGGCGCATCGGGAGGTTTTGGAGGATATTCTTGAGTGGGTGAAGGTTAATATGAGGACTTGGAATGGGAGGAGTGTGCGCGATTATGGGGAGGAGGAGTTGAAGATGTTTTTTGGTGGGGTGGGTAAGGTTCGTTTGTCCCCGATCGACCTTTGCCGTGATATTTATGTTTTTGAACTGATGTGGCCTTTTGTAGACTACGAAATCTATTGCTCGTGAGGTTGGTACTGTACATGGTATCCCGGATCGTACTGCAAATTAGACCTGAAGAGAGGGATTCGAATCTACGGGAATGGGTGGGTAGTAGGAATTCCATGTATGCACATGACAAACGAGATTGGTTTTCTTGAGAAGGGGTGGGTAAATGGGAGGAACTTACGGAGTTGATGTCCAAGAGGTAGAGATACATAGATGCTAAATGCCAGGTTTCTATTACCAAAGACGCGTTCATGTTCTCCAACCATGCAGAATTCTGAATATCGTGGACTAAACTACTTAAGCACGCAATTTTCGTTGGGTGATGTAGAGATCTCTGCTTCAACTTTTAACGAGAGAATTCAGCTAAGTGTGCTCTTCTGAATTTGAGAAAACCCAATTTGAATTTCCTTTCCGAGTAGAATAAGATTTCCCGATGACTACAATTGCGCTTAGGCGGAATATAATTACATAAGACAACGACTATCCTTTAACACAAGCTATAATTAATTTGGAAAACAGGCTAGTAAACATGGTGTGAGAGGAGTTTCAAACAAGGATTTAAAGCAATTCTAGCGTAGAATAATGTAGTCGCGTAAGGAGCTAACTACTATCACAAAAGTCACAAGTTGGAAAAATACAGTATGGGGATTCAAAACTGCTTCACACGCCATCTAGGTACACGAGACCCCATTTAAAATCTTGGTGGGATACAATACCTATATATTCACACAGTTAACCAGATATCGCATTATAAAAATAAAAATAAATATCTAAGACGTATAACTTAATACTAGATAAGAATCCCGGAATTACCTCCTAATAAGTATTACATCTCACACAAACTAATTTCGGTATCTCATATTAATTCTTCTTTCGTACGTCCCTTATACCAACCCACCGGGGTAATATGTTCTTTTTACTAATACTCAGGTTGACGTAGGAGGTAGAGGATATATTATTTGGGTCAAACAGCCCCTAGGGCACTTATAAGGCTATTTACACCTTAACAAGTAGAGCCTAGGCTACTGAGCGCTTAATTAAGGCCTATCTTACTATCAAAACTAGTAGCTAGCTTAGGGATAGTAGAGGGTCAATAAAAAACTACTCTTTATAAGCTATAATAATAATTAGTAGATTTATTATTATTATTATAGATAAGTAATTAAATAGATTAAACAATATATATAACTTAAGCTTACTTAGTTACCCTCGATATATAAAACATATCTTTTACTAATACTTAGGTTTACGTAGGAGGTAGAGGATATATTATTTAGGTTAAATAGCCCCTAGGGTACTTATAAGGCTATTTATACCTTTATAAGTAGAGCCTAGGCTACTAGACAAAGGCTATACCTAAATAATATATATAATTTATATATGAAGATTAGATTATAGCTTATAGTAGTAGAACTTAAAATTATATTAAGAGTTTTATATTAAGAGTTTAAATCTATAGAACTTAATTAAATTATAGAGAGAGTTTATATTAATAATCATATTCATTTTATTTACTTAAATTTATATTGATTCGTCTACTATCGCGGGTTTTATAAAAGGCGTATTTAAGCTATAACTCGATCTTTAGAATAGTAGTATATTATAGTTTTGTTTATCGAGTACGAAAAGTTGTCTTAAGGCTTTTACTATATAAGTTAAGTCCTCCTTTGCTACTACTATAATATCTATACTACTGTGACGACACGTACGCAAGGCCCACGGTGTAGGTTGTGGAATCGTAGAACTGTCAATTAAACAAAGATTCTAAGCTGAGGAGAAGAGGAGAGCTCGAGAGAGCTTCGATCTAAATACTTGGTGTGGGTCGCTAAGCGAGACCACGTGATCCGAATGGTGGTGACGGTTAGAACCGTCACAACTACTATTCGAATAGTCTATTTTACTCGTCTTTAGCTTAATCGATATAAAGGAATTATCTTCTATAAAAGTAACGTTAGATCTTATTACTTTCTCTCTTTTAAACTTCTCCTTGTTCTTATACTCCTCTACTATATATATAAGCTCTCCTAAGCGAAAGAATCCTTTATATACTAGTTTTAAGAATACTATAAAATTAAGGTTATTTCGTATTATATCTTTACTACTCCTTTTAGCCTCCTTATCTTACCGTTTCGCTATAATCTCTTTAAGGATATTATAGATTATTAGTTCTACTTAGTATTTCTTATCTTTAATATTTATCCGCTTTACTCCTACTACTATATACATTACTATCTTACTATCGAATACCTTTAGATATAGTATCCTATTAATATAAACTAAGTAAATATATAAGATCCATTATTATAAACTATCGCCTTTTAATTTACCTTCAAACTTTTCTAATCCTTTTATTACTCTAAGCGCTAAATAGTTTATAAGTAGAATTAGTTATACTAGGTACGGCTAAACTCTATTGTTTTTATAGAAGAACTTATATACTCTTTAGCCTAATTTATATACCTTTCGAGTCTTTAGCGCTAATCTATACTATACATATTTTACTGCGAATTTTAAAGTAGTTATAGGATTATTTTACTCTATACTATGTCACGGATGCCAACAAAGGATAAAGTGTATACAGCTTTTGAATCAATTGCTAGAACTAAAACCGTAGGTACGAAGAAATCAAACTAAAGAGAGAAGAGAATCTGAAAGGAGCGAAGTTATTTAAGTTGTTCCAATGCCAAGTCTCGTCACGTGCTTGGCCAAGCGAATGAAATCCTGTCAAATGAAATCCAGCTCCGTCACACTTCTTTTAAGGCATTCTAAGAACTATTATAAATCTATTATAATTATCTTTAAACTCGAGTATTTATTCTTATAATAATCCTAGTTAAAGGATTACTATAAAATTATCTAAATAGTAGATTATATCCTTTTACTTTAAATACGATTATAATATCTAATAAATTACTTTTATAAACTTATTAAAGATAAAAAGAGAGGCTCGAAGTCTAAATATTAGGTAGTTCTCTTAACAAAATTAGTTATTATATCCGAATCTAAATATCTACTAAACCTTATGTATAAGTAGGATATTCCTAAATACGTCTACTATATTATACTTTATAATTAGCGTACCTTGGCCTTTTTATAGAACTATTATAATAATTTAGCGTATTAATAAGTACTTTAAGTACGCTACTTCTATATTAATCCTATTATTAACTAAATCTATAGTAGTGTAACGAATACTCAAACTGCTAAACTAAACTTGGCTGGGTGTTCGCTGTTTGGTATGCTATGATAAGAAGAAGACTATCGGGTTGTTCACTTGGAAGTGAACTCGTTACTTGTATCAAAGATGTCAAACTAATATGATAAGATTGATAACTAAGTTGAGCACCAAGCTCCTATCTAATGGCAGACGTGCCAGTCTTATATAGAACCTCTGTTCTCTGTTCTAACTGTTGGATCGCCGGGGTCGCTTGTCTACCGAGTAGAGAATTGTTCACTTGGAAGTGAACTCGTTACTTGTATCAAAGATGTCAAACTAATATGATAAGATTGATAACTAAGTTGAGCACCAAGCTCCTATCTAATGGCAGACGTGCCAGTCTTATATAGAACCTCTGTTCTCTGTTCTAACTGTTGGATCGCCGGGGTCGCTTGTCTACCGAGTCGACCCAGACGACTGGAGCGCTCGTCGCTCCAGGCGACCCAACTTGTCACGTGACACTAACAAAAGGAAATCCCTGGATCGCTTAGCTAGACCAAGCGATCCCATTTGCTATAAGAGCGTTCAATGGTGCTTGACTTGTCAGGACGCCGCCTGGTCTTCACTTCTCACGTGCCAACACGTGATTCGTGACAAGTAGGGAAAGATAGATCGTAAATTCGTCGAAAAGTACTATCTTCTTTCAGTACTAATCTAAGTAGTAAGTATATAAATCTTTTAAGTAGTAGTAGTTAAACTTTCGAAATTCGTCTTAATTTAAGATCTTTTTAAATACCTACTTCTATAAACCCTTAATTAAGATTTAACGATTTATAATTCTTTAAAATTAACTATTTCTCCTCTTTTTTATACCTAACTAATATACTAAATCAAAAGATTAATATAATATAGAATCTTAAAGACCCTAGATATTAAGCTAATAACTCTATCTACGCGTTAATTCTAAAAAGTAATAGCGAGTTAATTAATAGCTAAGCTAATCTATGATAATATTAAAATAAAAGTAAAGTATTAGGATATATAAGTATAGGATAGTAAGAGTAATTCTCCTAATTATATATTAGATACCCCCTCTCCTGTGACCGTATGGAGTGAACCACTGCTTGCTGTGATGAATACGGAGTCAAACGGAAACTGCTATATAGAGCGAACAACTAAGTGAGGAAGGAAGAGAGTTCCAGAGGAACAGAAGCTTATATACAGGCTGCCAGCAGCACGCACGTGCCGTGCTGCTACACGTGATCTGCCCCCAATTCCTCCAACTCCGTAACAGTTACCCCCCCTCTAAAGAAGGTCGTCCTCGACCGTATATCCATGAGTAGATCACTGTCCAATTCATCATAATCGTCTCTTCCGCTTTCCCACGCTTTTAACCAGTCCATCAATCGAGCTGGCGGGCCAGGTCGAGTTGGATTCGCCAAGTGGAAGTCTCTTACCTTGTAAGGAGCGTATTTGCAATCGGACGCAGGATACCATTGTAAGTCTTCGTCTCTGTTTAGCCACTTAACACGGTAGTACAGGTATTTGCGGCCCTTGCTTGCGAGGATCTCTTGAACTTCCCATTCGTCATCACCTGTAATATTGACAGGCGGTGGCTCTGGGTTAATTTGTCCGGGCAGAGGGTTCTGTGAAGCCTTCCTTAACCTATCAGGGGAGAAGACTGGGTGGATTTTCATTGAATCAGGCAGTTGAAGCTTGAAAGCGTTGCCTACTTGCTGGATAATCCTATAGGGGCCAGCTCCTGGGAAGTCGAGCTTGCGGCTAGGCCTCTCAGTACGTAGGTGTTTCTTTGCAAGCCAAACAAGGTCTCCAA